TCAATAATTTCGTCAAATTGAACTTGGCTAACCGCATAGGTAACAATATACTACGGCATGCATGCACATGATAAAAAGCAATTTGGTTGTTTGAAATTTTATCTGTAAATTTTAATGACACATTATATTTTTCCAAAAAAAATTCTTTGTGCATAGCAGTAATTTCAAAGCCGAGTGATAATGCATCGATGCTTCTGCAATTGTCCTACTAGATAGTAGATACTGGAGAAAAAAGCATTTAATTGTTGATTTTGCCATTTGCCGCCGAAATTAGTTCCCAGAGTGGCTACAAGCGGGGTATTCTAAATTTGCAAGTGGATAACACGCCCTGGGGAAACGACTCAGAGAACAAATTTCCCCAGGTCAAGGTATCCGTCTAAAATACAGCTTATCACTTGCCTAGTTTGGCGATTGGGTAAGTTTATAGTGAGCTATATATGAATATAATAAATAATAGAGCAAAGGCAAAACATTACCTTCCGTTCTTGACTGCAGTTCATCAATTTACTTCATAAAAAACCCAACAACCCTTTCATTATTGTCGTACTCATTTAATCCATCATAAGTGATTAAATTTTTCATATCAATTCCCCTAATATCAATTCCCCTCGCGCTAGTTCTCTTGGAAAAATTATTTCCATTACAGATTGAACAGTTGACAAAAATTTGTGAAGGGAAATATCATCCATGCCTGATAAAAAAATGCAACAGCATCCAATAATAATTTCTACATCTCAATGAATAAGACGTTGGTGGGGAAAACTATATTATTTTAATGAACTATCCAAAAAACACTGGGAATCATGTCTAAGTAAATAAGTACATGCAATCATATGTACCTTTAGCAATGTCATTAAGCTCCATCCGTCTCTTGTCAATTACATGATACATTAGTAGCCTGTCTACCAACAGACAGCTATCACTGATAAGATTATCAGGATCAAGGCCTGCCTCAAAAAGGTATGGCGACAGAGATGTTCTTAACTCTTGATTTGGCACTTCATTTTTTGACAAGCTGTCCAAATGTACCATATAAAGAACAGTGTCACATTTTAACAGCAAAGCAACCTACTAACATTTGTTTTGTAACATTTATAGTATGTGAGAGTTTTCTGGGATTGAAAAGGTTTCAATAACTGAAAAAAATAGACAAAACAATTAAATAACACACACACAAAAGAAAAACAGGCCCTCTGGTAAGGAATTCTTGCCTGAGGACCTACAGTATACATTAGTTGCATTCTTTTACAGAGTGGCTGCCGGTTAGATCTTAGATTGTTTGTAGAATTCTGCAAACAAATTTCATCTACTAAAGCCCATACAGTGTTTTGAACATTTATAGTATGTGAGAGTTCTCTGGGATTGAAAAGGTTTCAATAACTGAAAAAAAACTAGACAAAACAATTAAATAATACAGACACAAAAGAAAAACAGGCCCTCTGGTAAGGAATTCTTGCCAGAAGACCTACAGTATACATTAGTTGCATTCTTTTACAGAACGGCTGCCGGTTAGACTTCTTGTAAGTAGAGCGTTACATTTTTTCACATTTTTAAGACAAGTACCAGGTGTTACAATAAAAAAGCCCTGCTTACATGCATTAGAGTTTATTTCAGTTGGTTAAATTTTTTTGTGACACCTGTTAAAAGTACAAAAATTGTGTTAAACTGTGAAATATTTGTACCATTTCAGTCATATCCTACCAAGAAGAAATCATGCTGTTCAGAGTCAAATAGTCAAAATGCTACATCAAGATCTACATCAGAGGCTATCATCGTAAAGTTTGTACGGAGGGATAGTAAAGAAAAATTCTACCGGGCGAGAAAAAATTGAACTGCTGCTGATTTTAACTTCGAATCATCAAATAAAATTTTCATTACTGACAATCTTACTAGAAAGAATAAAGAGCTATTTAATTCCTGTTTGAACATCAAGAGAGAGAAAGGATACAAATTCATCTGGACAAACAATGGGAAAATCTACATGAGAAAATCTGAATCTAGTTACAGCATCAATATAAAAAATCAGAATGACCTACATCAACTCTGAATCTAAAAGTCTATTATAATCAAATAAGTATATTACTATAAAATGGTTACATCTAGTGCTTGTCTAAAGTGCCCTTTTGGGTCGATTGATGTTAATAATGATAAGCTATCTGATTTTTCCTTGTTGCCAAAACTTGTAACTAATGATGCAAGTAATGTGCCCTACTTGCAAGATATAGATGCTGACTTACATATGCCATTGGAACAAAATTTTCAGTACTATTCTACCCATGAATTCCATGACAATTACAATATAAAATATTCTTTATTGGCAAAATCCTTTTCAGTTCTAAATTGTAATATTCGAAGTTTATCTGCGAATTTTGATGCTTTGGCTCAAATGTTATCTGAATTATATTTCCCATTTTCTATAATAGGATTAACTGAGATTAAGATCAGAGAAAATGAGGTGCCAGCAACAAATACTGATATTCCTGGCTATCATTTTATTTCACAACCAAGTAATTCTAATGCTGGAGGAGTAGGTTTTTATATTAATAATAATCTTAAAACAAAAATCAGAACAGATCTTTCATCTCGAACTGATGAATATGAAGCTCTTTGGATTGAAATTATTAATAATAGTGAGCGAAATTTAGTATGTGGTGTCATTTATAGGCATCCAAGAGGTGATCCAAAAATTTTTATGAATTACATAGATATGGCAATTGAAAAGATTCACTGGGAAAATAAATATTGTACATTACAAGGTGACTTTAATTTAGATCCCCTAAAATCTGAATCTCATCAAGAAACAAAACTTTTTCTCAATGCTTTAAATTCATTATTTTTTCAGCCTCAGATTATTCAACCAACCAAAATAACAGATCATTCTGCTACACTTATTGATAACATATTTTTCAATTCACTGGATCATTTCACAATTAGTGGGAATCTAATATATGATATCTCTGATCATCTTCCAAATTAAAAATTTTACAAGAGAGATTATTCCACATTTAATGAATCTAATTTAATAAACAATCTAAATTTAATTAACTGGGATGAGATACTTGGTACAGAAAGAAACCCAGATAATTTGTTTAATTCATTCTATGATAAAATTTCTGAGGTGGTTGATTTGCATGTTCCTATAATACAATTATCAAATAAAGAAATGAAAACAAAATCTAAACCTTGGATAACACCTGCTATTAAGACATCAATCTCAAAAAAGAACAAATTATATAAAAATTATCTAAAAACAAAATCTGTCCATTACTATACTAAGTTCAAGTTCTACAGGAATAAGTTAAATCATTTGATGCGCTTAAGCAAAAAAAAATATTATAATAATTATTTTGATATAAAACAAGGAAATAGCAAATTAATCTGGAAAGGAATTAAAAGTATAATTAATGTTAAATCAAATGTACTTGGTACTCCTACTATTATAAATGAAAATGATTCTGAAATTTCCGATCCTAAGGAAATTGCAGATGCTTTTAATAGATACTTTTCTAATGTTGGAGAAAAGTTAGCAAATAATATTCCAAGAGTAAACAAGTCTCCACATGAATACATGACCTCATCCCCATGTGATAGTCTTTTTCTTTATCCTATATCTTCAGTACAAATTGAAAATGAAATTGCCAAACTGAATTGTTCTAAAGCTACCGGTCCCTTCAGTATAGAGGGTCCACAATAGGTTTTTCGGGATGCGGGAATTAGGTCATTTTTCAATCAGGAAGCGGGATATTTAAAAAATAGAATGCGAGATTCGAGAATAAAATTTCTTACGGGACGCGAGATTTTTGTAACTTGTGCCTCGGGATTCGATATATGAAATATTTTAATGACGGGATACGGGATTTAAAATATGCCGTTTGACGAATTTGAAGAGTTTTTGAGTCTGAAAAGATTCAACAAAATACTTTATTTACATGTAACTATTGTATTTTGAAATTCGATATTACCGGAAGTAACCGAAAAGTATTTGACCTTTACGACCTTGACTGTGAACATGAGTAAAGATGGCGGATATCTTGCTCATCTCTGAAGAAAGTGAAGTCGTTTATACAAACGTTATCAACTGTGTTTCAATATTTTACGAGAAGGGTGCGAGCGGGAGCTCATTCCTGAGAAAAGAGAAGTTTCGAGCGGAAATCAAAAGTGATGTTAGTACTGTGAAGGCACTGAAGCAAATCGTCAGGTATGCAAATGTAGGCAATGGCCAATAGTCGAGCCAATATACAATATGAATATTAATTTTGAGAACTTTCGATTTTAAAACAGTTAACAGTCTTGCACGGACAGTATGTTTGACTATGTTGGAGACCTTTGATCTCATTGACTCATTTAATTTTATAAACTTTATATGGTCTTGTACGCTTATAGTTTATGATATGGATACATTTGTCATATCTGTGCACTTGGGCCTTGGCAAAATTTAGAATTTATGTAAAAGTGTGGCGTGCTTGAAGACTATGTAGGTCTATGTAGACCTATATGTGGAATGCCCCTATGTCCTATATGAGTTGATTTTGTATATCAATTTGTTCATTTATAATATTTTTAAGTTCCTTGTGGTTAGATTCTGCTGCACATCTAAATAAATTATTTTATTTTGTGACTAATTTTGCTCTAATATTAAATGCCTCTTCATTTTATACAGCCAATTTGGTGGCATTTATCAAGTAGCCAAAAGCATTGGCCTTGGGAATAATATTGATATCAAGCTAGCTAGGCTTGACAAGAGTGACACACAAAAAGGAACCCAATGCTATGCTATCAACACTGATAACCAGGTTCGCTTGGAGTTACCAACAATACGCACTGGTAGTGACTCATTACAAGGTATGTAGGTCGATGATTCAACAATATCTTTTTTCTATTTCAATTTGGAATATATAAGTCTATACAGACTATATAGTCTATAAAATTATAATCCCCAGAGGCCTAATTTGTCCTGCACAACAATTTTAATCTTCTTAAAGCTTTATTATTAAACTGCAATGTACCCCAGCGCACTCTACGAATTTGACATTCTCATTATCTTCCCAGTTACTGTTTACCCTGTGAATATTTCCTTTGCAAAATCATGTCCAAGGATTGTTGTGTGCATTGATGACCAAGAAATTAAGAAGCATAAAGCAAAGGAAACTGAAAGAGAACTAAAATCAGAGCAACAACAACTACTTAGTGAAGGTACAGTATTGCATGGAGTAATGCTAAGTTTTTGGTGAGCTTAGGTGTGAGTGATGAATGACCAAGAGTTTTTTGACTACCATAATAATTTAATTGATCTATTATTATTTAGAATTGAAGAAGCTAGCCAACAGTGAGCTAGTAAAAGAAGATGTGGCATCAGCTTCTGTTAAAAAGAGAAAGGTGAACTGGCCTTGGAAGATAAAGTGTGGCATTTGTCATTGCATAGTGCAGCTTCGGATTGACTCAAGCATAGCGGGAAGAATCTCTTATTTTAAATCTCGTAAGTTTGGTCGTTTTTAACAATTTAACTGGTATAATGGGACTTGCTGATGATGATGAGATAATGATGATATTTTATTCACAGTGAAGGGGATGTAACTTGAAAATTTTGACTCAGAACTAAAAAATCTGTCATATATGTACTGTAAAATTTGTCCAAAAGTACCACAAATGTTAATTTTACAATATGCTTGAACAATGGCCATATATTTGTTAAAACAATAATTTTCTCATATAGATCATTTTGATGCTTGCAAGGAAAAAAGAAAACAAATAAACAAGCAGAGCACGATTTCAGAGATGTTTGGAAAAAAGAGGAAAAAGGATGACCAAGATGTAGGGACACGCACAGTTACTGGCCAAGTTGAGTTAATAGAAGTTGACTCTGATCTTGACTTTTCTGATGTTGAAGATGATGGAGGGGAACGCAAGTAAGTTGTGGTATATAATCACCGCGTTCGATGTGGTTGACCAGTGACCAGTTAAGAAAAGTGTTAAATTTTCAAATTATTTTAAAGAATTTTAACATCCAAGATTGTAATTAATAAAGTATATAGGTCTATATAGAACATCTGGAAAGTCTAGGTTGATATGGATTGAATACATATTTATACTCAGACTGTACATTCATTATAATTAATTATAATTGATTTGTGAAAATGCAAACTGCAAAGTCTGCAAAAGTTGTTTTGTAAAAAGTGCATAAACTTTCCAATATGATTAATATGCTGTGCATAATTGCGTTGAGAATTTAAAAGTGTGTACAATTGATGTATCCAAAGCACAATGGTATGGGCGATATCATGTGAGACTAGCGTACATGATATGTGTGCATCGACAACATCATCAGGACCATCAGCATGGAACAAAGTACTTTAACTCTAATGTGAAATTTTCCTATGGTCTTTAGCTCAGATATATCTTACGGATCATATGCAACCGATGATGGATACTCAAATGTCTCATCTGGACCATGCGTTTCGGAGGTGGAAATGATTAGCAGTGAAGAGGAGGTGCAGTTTGATGATCACGACGAAGAATGGCGACTGGTGGCAATAGGTGTTGAGGAAGCTGACCAAGTTTGTGTCAAACTTAATGATCTATTACGGCGAGGAATTGTTTTAAAAGACAGGATATTGTACAAATACCTAAAAGATGTCATTGAGATATTCTATGACCCTCGACACGAGTATGATCAAGAAGTGGTTGAATTTTTCAACACCATTACTTACCTTGGTGGACGACGAACTGCAAATATGATTCGTGCCCAATGTATCAAGGGGAGGGTAGAGGCTGCTTTCACGATCTTGCTAATGTGAAAATGAATCTTGGTGGACCGTCGGATGAGACGTGTAGAAAGCAGCAAGCTGGGTATACATGCAAATCTGGTGTCATCAAAAGTCTAAGTCAAGCATTTCTTAAACTATCGTCAGATAATGGCTATTCTCAAACAGAACCATTAATAAACATTGAATGTGTCAAAGTTATTCCATGTGTGCTAGCCAACGATGGGACTGCCTTGAAACCCTCCATTCAGTTTGACCCAAGAACTAAGGAAAATATCGGCCTAAATCTTAAAGTTGAAGTCAGTTTTGTCAAAGAAAATAAAGAACCAACTTCACTATTTCTAAATGAACATATCATCTCTGAAGTACTTGTTTCGTCGTTGACTTCTTTGGATAACACTTGCAGCATCCCCTGTGCTGTTGATTATGTAACTAAGGCAGGGAAAACCGGAGAAGATATGAGAAAGTTATTTGAACACCATTGCAAAATGTTGCAAGTGTGTGAATGTTGTCAAGATGAGTGTCCGGTCACTGACAATATACTTAGTCCAGATGCACCACAACGATGTGAAAGTGTATGCAGGGAGTGCATCGAATCGAAGAGTACTTGTGAAGAGTGTGCTGCTCAAGGGCAGATAAGCCATCATCCTAGTCTCAGAGCATGCAAAAAATGTCTGGAAGCAGGGCGAAAGTGCACAAGAGTGGCAGTACTTGCTATCATTGTCGATTGTGAGGAAGGAAACAAGCAAGCGATGAAAAGTATGCTTGACTCGTTACTGGATGATACTATGGATCCAATGTTGTCATTAACAGTCCCTCTTCCAGACTCTGTGCATGTTGGTAAAAGTCTAAAAGGAAGTTTTGCCAACTGGTTTTTGAAGCTAGGGCAAGAGAGAGGAAACCTAGCAATTTTAAGGACTCTAAGAAACAAGGGAGATAGCAAGACAAAGAAAGAAATGCGAAGATTTCTTCCGAGGAATGATCACGTAAGAAACAAAGATCGCCAAGATCCATCAGCAGTATTGAAGTTGACAGATGAGGGATTTATAAACTTTCTTCGTTCACTTGATTGTGTTGTTCACACAATCATACCAGAGACAGACCGTTTCACTGATAACAACAAGGTGGGGATGTACCCTTGCCCGATTAGTGTTAGCGTTGGTCCCTATGGTAGTATATTTTTTCTCACTGAGGTCGAAGACGATGGCAAAAAGACATCCAGCCTGTACACTGCACAGCTCCACAACCCTGTAAAGAATATCACTTTAGTGAAGAAAGGCATTTTGTCGGCAAAAGAAGTTAACTATTGTGAAAGTGGTTCATTGGTATATCTAGTTGGAAATAACAGTCCCATTCAATTTGTCGAGTGTGAAAAGGGAGCCGTTGAAGTATCTTTGAATAAGCTGCGAACACACGCTGAGTTGGATGATAAGCTTCGAGCGCTTGGCCTTCAAAGGAATGGAACTATAGCTACCAAGAAAGCGGCAATTGCACGGCATATCACTACCGTAAAAGGGGAATACGCACGAATTGGATACTCTCAAACCGAAATAAATTTCTGGAGCGAAGACGAAACTGAAGATGAACATGCTGTAACGCATTGCTACATGTTTGAGGCTGTTCATGTTGTTGATCATAGTCTGCTGTACGCTGCTAGCACGAGCAAGCTGCAGCTTGTTTCGATTATCACAACCAACGATGGGTATGGAATACGAGGAAAAGCGGAGACAGTCGCCAAATACAACCATGACTGGGGAAGTGTCGGCTCATTGACAGTCTTGGAACACAGCTTGTACGCTTCCCATCGGCAAGGCATTGATGAGATATCCTTGATAACCAAGGAACCGCTGCGCATTGTAACACAAGGAGTATCATACTCATCCCTATCCCCGTCCATAGTAGAATATGAAGGAGGGATATTGTACACGGATACAGCATTACACTGTGTGATGCTGTGGTCTAAGAAAGAGGGTACAGTTGAATGTTTTGCTGGAAACCGTGGCAAAGCTGGAAACCGAGACGGCGTTGTTAGCGCGACAGAGTTTTATCAACCCATAGGACTTTGCGTTGAGTTCAGTCACGTTGTTTACGTTTGCGATGCGCAGACAAGCTCCATTAAAGTCATCACAACCCTTCAAAGGACAGCAGACTTTCTAACGGCGATCGGTAAAATCTATGCAGCGTTTTCTGTCCATGAGAAGCACCATGCGTTTACCACATGTACCATCGAAGAGGCTATCACAAAGTTGGGCGAATGTTTAGATCATTTACGTGGCAACGAGACGTCAATCAGACAGAATGTGTCAAGACTTCCAAGAACCCTGAATGGTCCTCAAGGTAACGTGGCGGCAAAGACAATAGACTCAGTTGATATGCTCAAACGAGGCTTGGGACGACTGAACGAAATATCTACCGAGTTCAACTACAAGTCTCTAAGCCTTCTTAGTTGTATGACATTAGATGTGGAGAATTTCCATTCAGTGGTGCATCACAAGGCTCCTTTGTGCACCGTTCTTCAATATGCCAGGAATTTTGGGAATGCTGTTAAGGAAAGCCTAAAGCGAACCAATCACTGGGCAGCTTTCTACTATACGCATCCTAAATCTTGGTACCCAGTTCCTGAAAGAGCGTCACGCCTTGCAGCAATTCCGCTTATGGAGGCACAGCGATCGACCACCATTTCTCCCCAAGATGCCCAAACTATGAAAGATTGGGCGGCCGCGTATGGAGCATCCGTGCGACAACGCACTGTGAGGCAGGAGACTACAATGTGCAGGGCAGGAACACTCCCAGATTACTTGTACCAACGACAAGTGCAAGCAGGGGAGCCTATCATAATTGACAGCCTCGGAAAGGATTCAGAAGCACGAAACCAGGAGGAGAGAGTCGAGGAAGAGGAATTTGAGGAAATGGGAGGCGTAGAAGTTGAGTACGATACAAGTAGCGATGAAGGCGGCAACGATGAAATGCAAGAAGAAGTTGAAAAAGACCGTGAGAGTAGTGTAGGAACTTTGGAGCTAGACGCTAATTTTCTCCTTGGAACTGTCTCCCGATTTGGAAGAGCTGTCAGATTTAATAATAGACTAATGTTTTAAGATGCATCATGCATTCAATTTCAAAGTACAATTTTATTTGGCTTTTATCCGGAGAACCACGCGCAACGTCATGAATTTTCGCTATAAAACAAACACTTTTGTCGTCATAGGGTACTAAGTTGCAAGGCAGGATCGGGATTTCACGATAAAAGCGTCGGGATATCGGGAATTTTAGAAAAAAACCATCGGGATTGGGGTAGCCTATTGTGGACCCTCGTATACCAGTTAAAATTCTTAAAGTTATTAAAAATATAGTGTCAGGACCACTTGAGACTATATATAATGTTTCACTTCAAACTGGTATTGTTCCAAGTAACTTAAAGGTGGCAAAGATTATTCCAATATTTAAAACTGGCTTACAAAATTGTCTGAATAACTACCGTCCTATTTCACTTCTTTCAGTATTCGATAAAATCTTGGAGAAGTTAGTGTATAAACATTTGTACTTATTTTTACAAGAGAGAAAAATATATTTTAAACAATTTGGTTTTCGAAATTCATATTCTACTTCCCATGCCTTACTAAGTATTGTTGACAAAATTAAAGATGCAATAGATAATCATGATTATGCCTGTGGTGTATTTTTAGACTTGAGTAAAGCTTTTGATACAGTTAATCATGATATTTTGATCAAGAAATTAATCATGATATTTTGATCAAGAAATTAGAGTTTTACGGTATTAGAGGTCATGCAAACAAGTGGTTTTTGTCTTACTTGACATATAGAAAACAATTTGTTTCTATTGACAATATTTCATCTGAAGAATTAACTAGTTCATGTGGAGTACCTCAGGGCTCAGTTCTTGGCCCTCTACTTTTTCTTTTATATATTAATGATTTTGCTAACTGCACAAAAATGTTGGAATTTCATATTTTTGCCGATGATTCGAACTTATTTTTTAGAAGTAATACTCTCCTATCTCTTCAAAATACTCTAAACAATGAACTAAAAAAAGTATATAATTGGCTCTGCGTAAATAGGCTATCTTTAAATATAAAAAAATCAAATTTTGTAATATTTCATCCGAGACAACGAACAAAATCAACTAATATTGAAGTAACTATTAATGACCAATCATTAAAACAAGACTATACGATTAAATATTTGGGTTTGACACTAGATTGCAATCTTAGTTGGAAGGACCATATAAGTTTTGTGGAAAGTAAAGTTAAAAGAAGTATTGGTGTTTTATCTAAACTCTGTTACTATGTTAGTTTAAATATGTTAAGAAATCTTT